ACAACAATGCAAATTACTACCTTTATCACTACCTGCATAATGGCTACAGCCCTGGAATACTTTACATCTGCTTACCAGCCCCCTGTCTGCTGTGTTACTGCTGTGTGCATTTAGCACAGTCTACATTTCAATCACTGTGAAATATAAAATTATTTCCTAGAGTCAATTTCAGTTACATATACCTAAATTTCTACTGCTTCCCATGTTCTTTGATCCTACTGACTTCTCTGTTTTTATCCAAGCCCAAGAAAAGCCCTTGTATGCTTTTGTTTGTTTATTCTGTCTATTGTTAACAAAATAACTCAGAAGTTACCATAAGAATTTATTTTTTGGGGGTATAGAAACCAAAGATGGCCATTTTTCTTCAGTACTTTATTTTTTTATTTATTTTTATTTTTTGACAGGCAGAGTGGACAGTGAGAGAAAGAGACAGAGAGAAAGGTCTTCCTTTTCTGTTGGTTCATCCCCCAGTGGCCGCTGGGGCCAGCAAGCTGCAGCCAGCGCACCGCGCTGATCCAAAGCCAGGAGGTGCTTCACCTGGTCTCCCATGCGGGTGCAGGGCCCAAGAACTTGGGCCATCCTCCACTGCACTCCCGGGCCACAGCAGAGAGCTGGACAGGAAGAGGAGTGACCGGGACAGAATCCAGTGCCCTGACCGGGACTAGAACCCGGTGTGCCGGCGCCGTAGGCAGAGGATTAGCCCATTGAGCCGCGGCGCCGGCCTTTTTCAGTACTTTAAATAATGTCATTAAATATAAGGGTTCTTAAAAAATTCAATGATAATAAAATTAAAAAAAATATTTTGTTAGAAAACATTTTTAAAATAATTTTTTATTTTTATAAGGTGAACAAATTTCATATTTATAGACTTAGGAGCACAGTGATACCTCTCATCCTACCCTCCCTCCTGCCCACACTCCTACCCTCCCTCCCCCTTCCTTGTAGACTTTGGGTGTTATAATATCTTTCCCAGATAGGATTCAATTTTTCTAATAGGCAGAAAGAGTAAAGAAGGGATCAATGTAATCCAATCAAGGGCCATGTTGGCCCAGTGCAGGTCACAATTTTGGTAGAAAATAATCTTCCTCTAGTTCATCACTAATCCTAGGGCATAGTCTTTTGGAGCTTCTTTTTTAAAAAAAAAAAGGATTATTTTATTTATTTGACAGGCAGAGAGAGGAAGAGAAAGAGAAAGAAAGAGAAAGAGAGAGAAAGAGAAAGAGAAAGAGAAAGAGAGAGAGAGAGAGAGAGAGGAGAGACAGAGAAAGTAAATGATCTTCCATTTGCTAGTTCACTTCCCAAATGGCTACAATGGTCAGGGGGCTAGGCCAGGCTGAAGCCAGGAGCCAGGAACTCCATCCAGATCACCTACCTGGGTGGCAGAGTTCCAAACTTGGGCCATCCCCTCCTGGGTTCCCAGGTGAATTAGTGGGGGGAGAGAGTCAAAGTGGAGCAGCTGGGACTAGAACCAGTGCACCAATATGGCATGCCAGTGCTGCAAGCAGCTTCTTTACATACTGCATCATAACATGGGCCCTGCAAGTCTTTTGGAACTTCCAGTGACAGCTTGGTGGTCTTTGACTCCTTAGCTCTGAAATTCCACAGGAGATTTATTAAGGGATCCTCCCATTTAGGTTGCAGTTCTATGGGACTCTAGAAGATTTTATTCTGTTCCTAAAAGATAAATATCATATATTTTCTCTGATATGTGTTAGTTAACATAGAATTTTTCAAAAGCAGTGTATAAGAATGAAACTGGCTTCTTATGATTTGATTATGTTTATAGCCCTTGTCTATATTCCTATGGAACTGAGGTTTTCCTACTTTTTTACTTGTTGAACATTATGGTTAGTAGTGCATTAGGCTTGTGAATATAAACTAAATTGAAATTATATTATTGTAAAAAATTATAGAAAGAAAAGAAAAGAAGGATTGAGGTGGGATTGAGGGAGAGAGGAAAGGAAGAAGGTATGGTTATCTTTGAATTGTGTTTATAAAATACATGAAATCTGTTCTCTTTATAATAACACAAAAATTGGCCGGCGCCGCGGCTCACTAGGCTAATCCTTCGCCTTGCGGCGCCGGCACACCGGATTCTAGTCCCGGTTGAGGCGCCGGATTCTGTCCCAGTTGGCCCTCTTCCAGGACAGCTCTCTGCTGTGGCCAGGGAGTGCAGTGGAGGATGGCCCAAGTGCTTGGGCCCTGCACCCCATGGGAGACCAGGAGAAGCACCTGGCTCCTGCCATCAGATCAGCGCAGTGTGCCGGCCACAGCGCGCCAGCCGCGGCAGCCATTGGAGGGTGAACCAACGGCAAAGGAAGACCTTTCTCTCTGTCTCTCTCTCTCACTGTCCACTCTGCCTGTCAAAAAATATATATAATAATACAAAAATTTATCTAATGATACACTTAAGATTGGGATTTCACTATATGAGTATATAAATTTTAGAAACAAAACAAGAACTGAAAACAAAGCTTCTATTAAGCTCTTGTTATGTGCATGCTAAAGTATGTCTGACTAATGTATATTGATGCCTATAACTTAAAAAAAGTCTTTGCTTCTAACAGTTTAGTTTTCCATGAAGCTTCAAAATTAAACAAATGCTTTGTGTAGGAAACCAGTCACATGTTTGAGTTCCTTCAGTCCTCCAATATTGTCATATTAAACCTGTGCAATAACTAAAAGTTATGTTAGTTTGTTTTTCTCCCACATGCTATTGAGGGTTGCATGAATGAAGCCTAATATTCAGCTACCATCCATGCCCAGAATCAGCAAATATTCATAGTAAAAATAGAATCTGCAGATCTTCAGATAAAATTGAATGATTTGCCCTCTTACGAATTCCAGTTCTTTTAGACCTTATTTCTCCCACAGCTCTCTCATGGGTTGAAAAATATGATTTTTTTCAATGTCTCTGATTTTTCCAGTTTATTACTAACAATGATGTTGACTTGCCATGCTTTGTTATGTTTTATGTAGAAGTGGAAATCTCTACAAGTTCTTAGTTAATATAGGAAATATCACAAAATCAATCGCATACTGTTTTTGTACATATGCTTAAATTTTACATTAAATATACACACCCGAAACAACAAATCAATTATCCTTAATTTAACCTCCTCTAAAAGCTACCATCTTGGATACTACATTTAATAGGCAAAACCCACAAAAAGCAGATTCCTCTCATTCTGTTTTCTTTCCTTTCTCCATTCTCTAATTAAATGACACAGCAATCAGCTTTTACTGCCAAATCCAATAAACACTGATTCCTATGACATTATAAAAATCTGATTTTCCTCTTAACTCTTTGGCTGTTCTGTTTTTCATTTGTAATTCTTTTTCCTCTGACAATTTCTTAAATGCTCATGTTCCTCTATGTTTGTTATTTATAGCTCTACTACTTAGCAACAAATCTTTTTCACCTATGGCCATTGACTATATGTTTATTTGATTAGGAAGATTACTTATGGTTAAAAAACTGGAAGGAAAGATGAAACACTGACATCTAAAATATGCTATTTCTTTTTCAGAGGAAGAAAATGGTCAAAGAAGAGTAAATTCAGTGCCTGGGGCAGACTGGGGGCACGTTAAGAGATTCTGAATAGAAGGAGGAATCCTACAAACTAAACCAATTATATTTTATTTCTATCTTCCTCAGTGATTCTCCATCAGCTAAGAGTGTAATACTTGTAGTCAATAGAATGGGAAGCTCTCAATAGCAGTTTAAAAGGGTCCATATTCCATGCACCACCACCACCACTGACAAAACACCACATTTGCATGGAGCTTGAAAGCTTGTAGGTGGAAAATAAGCATACCTAACTTCTTTGATTTCAGAATACCCTCCACTTATATCTCTCTTTTCATTATTATCTTTTTCCTTCTTAGGGATATATATATATATATATATAATTGCTTTAAACATGTTCAAGATACAGCTGAAAAGAAAGGCTGGCTAGGTTGAAAATATTCAGTCCTGAGTCTTGGTATTTGGTTTAATCTCACCTTACAGTAATATCAAATATCTCCTAAATGTACAATCACAAATTAAGGAGGCAATGTCCCCCAGTTATGCTTTTCAAAAGAGGGAAGTCAATATCATACTAAACTGCTAGCATGCATAATCCAAAAAGAAAACAGAAAACATTCACATGATAACTGAGTTGAGAATGCAATTAATATACTTTAAAATTATAAATCCCATAGATTGTCTAGTATAATAGCTCACATTTACAGAGAATTTTGTTCTGACGTTGTGCACTTTGTAAGTATTTTCTCACTTACATTGCAACAATTCTGTGAGGTAGGTATCATTGTACCTGTTGTAGAGAAGACACTAAAGCTTAGGGAGTATAGTACGGGAGCAAGATGTAGGAACCAGATTGCTGGAATTGTAGTGATGGCTGCACCAAGTAATAACTCTGTGACTCTGGCAAGTTACTTAAGCTTTCTGCCTCAGTTTCTCATATGAGAAATAAGGATAATAGTAGTATTTACTTTAAGGTAAAGTACCTGACAAATAATAAGTGCTTAAATGTATATGCCCTTGGGTAAGTTAATAGTAATAGCCTGCTCAAGGTCACACAGTTAGTAGATAGTGAAGTCAGAATTTCTGTACAGATTTCAAATCAAAGTGCTACAATATTATTCCAAATTAGATTGCAGTTATTCTGGTACATTTTATTGCATTTCATAAAACTCTAAAATATTGTTAATTGTTCTCATTATGTACTGTTCATTCAGCATTTATGGCAAAGAATGAGATAGTTAACAATGAAGATTTGTCTACGCCTAGAGGATTGGCTGAAGCTTCTTTGGACCATCAGAGTCACAATTCCCCAATGGCCTTGCTTTTATTATAAGGAAAGATGGTCAGAGACCAGACCCCCAACCTGTAAACTATAGAAAAGCGATAAAACTAAGAAGCACAGCCTTCCTCCCCTTGCTTTCCCACCTCATTTATACTATCATCCCTGGTTTTGATGTTCACAATGACTCACATCTGTAGACCTTTCTCTCTGTCTCTCTCTCTCTCTCTCACTGTCCACTCTGCCTGTCAAAAAAAAAAAAAAAAAAAAGAACTTTGAAGCTGAAACCTGCAAGTTAGAAAAGTAATGAGTTAGGCTAAAGGGTAATGATGAATAGAGAGCATTTCAGACAGAGAAATTCCAAGTGCAAAGGCTCGAAGGCATGGTGTGTTTAAGAACTTGGAAAAAATACTTTTAAGACAGGAGTAAAAAGAGAAAGAACAATATTTCAAGATAAGGATGGAATGTAGGCAGGTTCCTGTCAGCTATGTTACAAGACTTAAGTTTTATACTAAAAACAAAGGGAAATTTCAAAATGGTTTTATTTTATAGAAAATGGAAGTCAGAACTCAAAACATGATTAGCTCTGTGTGGCTGAACAATAACCCTCCCTGCAAGTTTACTGACTGAATTCAAGAGAACCAAGAGGGATGTGGAGGATACAAGCAAAAGACTGTTATCAACGTCCAGCTTCCACTAGGATGCTGTTTCCTCCACTCTTCTGAGAAATAATGTTACTAGCATGAATGAAAGGGTGCATTTAAATTGTGGGTTTTTCTTTAATCCAACTAAAAGTAAAATTTGAAGTGATTCGGTATTGTTATAGTGCCTGTCAGCAAACAAGACAATCAGATCAGTCATAACTCACTATGTGGCAGCAATTTGATATAACCAGTAAAAAAGAAATGTGTCCATATATCATAGTATATGAAGTATGTCATTTAGAACAAAGGAGGTATTTGGGGGAAGATAATTCCCTATGGATTTCTCTTGTTTCAGCAAGTCTTAAGCACAGAGATATCAGCTGTCTTTTCTTTGGACAATCTTTACAACATCTTCCTCCGACAAAGAGGTTAATTAAGCAGGCTTTACTGCCCATTATAAAACACCACATCCAATTTCACTCTTATAGGCACAATTTTTTGCATGTGCAAATGTCCCCTGACCCTTTTCACATTGCTCTGTGCGAATTGGGGCTCAGGGAACCAGCATGATCGCTGATATTCCAGCTACTGCAATTGCAGTGGGTAATAAACTGTCTCCCATCTCTGACCCAAGAGTCTTGTGTTTTCTTTCAGTATCCAAGAAACCGTGTTCAGTTAACTTGTTTGCTGACACATAGGGTGAAATCTTAAGAATTCCACAGTTCTGGACAGTGTTACTCCCAAGAGCCTCTCTCTATTTGTCCCAAATCATACCCGGCCTACATACCAGTCTGAACACAACAGGCTCAGTCTTGTTCAAGTCTTAGCCAGGACAAAGACTAGAAGTATATCAGATCCTACCACCAGCTGTGAAAAAGGCTTAATAAAATGAGTAATTTCCTAACTTAAATGTCTGCTTCTGGAGACAGTGGCTTCCCGGTTAGCAAGGAAGCTGTGACTGGTTGACATTACAATGGGAGGTATGGACAGTAGTTACAGACAGCTGAGATATCAGGGATAAGATTAGAAGATTGTTAAAGTTCCTTCAGGTGTGATCTTTTGAATCTTTCCATTACTCCTGTTTCAAGCCCTACTTATTCAGGATGAATGTCTATTGTGAAGATAGCATTCTTAAGGTAGCATATCATCACACGCATCACAGGGGGAATGAGCACGCTTAGTATATCACACAGGCATTAATTCCAACTGCAGATCAACTTATCCTATGACCCTTCACTTAACTTCTCTAGTTCCTTATCTGTAAAATGGAAATATGATTTTCTAACTCCTAGTAAGAGAACATGGACTAAATGAAGTAACAGGCATACGTGCTTAACACAATACTTGCCAATCAGCAAAGACTCAAATTAGTTATCTTTCTCCCTCTTTCATCTCACTGTAACCCACTCTCTCTAATTAAAATACAAGTTCTATATCACTTGGAAGTAGCATTATTCTTAGCCTTGAGGTCTTGTTATGGAAGCCTTAAGGATGACAAGAGTAAAGTTTCCTCTCTCTCTCTCTCTCTCTCTCTCTCTCTCTCGTGCATGAATATTTTATATGCTTTAACACCCCACAAAAAGGCTGTATTTATTCTTGGCATAGAACCATAATACACTATAGTCAAGAAAGGGAATGGGTTGCTCCTTTCTGGTGCTTTACTTTGCCTGTGTTTCCAGCTTTGTAACACTTTTTTGTTTTTTTTTAACCAAACAGTGAGTTGGCTGTTGCCAATCTAAACAATTTATAGATTTTTTGTGAGGTTATTTAAAAATTCATCATAAAATTTATATTTGGGAAATGGAAAGTAAAGCATGATTTGCACACTAACTGTATACATTTTTACTCACTCAACTCTGAATTATTTCTCTGATGAGCTGATTGGGAGAAATAAATTTGTTTCCAATGATTTACTCCTGCTTAAAAGACCAGCCTTCTGTCTTCATGGAAAGGTACAGGAAACCTCACTTACCTGGAATTATTTTAGCTTTGCACTACTATTCAAAGACTTCCTGAAACAACATAAAGTAATAGCTTTTGTGCTGGGCCACCTGGAAGCCTTGACATCAGATGAGCCTGTGGATGCCGTAGCAACTGCAGCTTTGTCGTCATGGTAACAGCCTTGTGCTCCATAGGCAAAACCAATGAGCTTTAAGTAATTCCACATTCTAGCTAAGCCTCTCTGACCTTATCAGGGAGCAATAAGATCTGTCTGTTCTTCCAAATGCACGTGCCCCTCAGCAGGGAGAGGGAAATGTGCATAATGTACCTGATTTTAATGTCATGCTTGGATTATTCAAACAAATGAATTCTTATCCTAGTTTCAAGGATTAAATGACATGATTTTCTTAATAGATTGTTGATTTCAGTTACCCGTGAGCATTGTTACAAAATCATAGTGTATAGCATGTGTACTATGAATGTTGGGATAACTAAATGTTTCAGAGAAGTAAAATACATAGATTTGCTTTCCATGATATGGATCAGAACCTGGAAAATAATTTTCATGTGTTTTGTCGAATATTTTTCCCTTCATGCAAGATAGTAACAAAGTACCGTATCATCTTTCATATTAATATGCTACATCAAGGCCACGGTCTGAAGAAACAAATTGTAATTCAATCTATATCTGGCCTGAGCTGCCTTTCAAAAGGCTCAGGTCCTCCCCTGAATACTTCCTTCCAAAAACTGGGCTAGTAAACTGCAGGCCCCTGAGCTGCTTGTTCAACTTTTTCAAATTTGAATACAAGAAATGGAAAGCCAAGGCTGAGCAATTCATTCATGAAAAGGACATAAGTAACTTCTCTTTCAGTTAAGCATTACAAGCTGTTCAAAGATGTATTATGTACCGTTGCTTAATCCCATATGCCAATGTTTAATAACAAACCAATTGGGTTTCCCAACAATGCATTATGTAACTCTTGTTTACTTGAACTGTTTCACACTTCACAGCGTACTTCATATTCTTTTAAAAAGCTTAAAACATTATGCTTTTAACGCTATTTGAATTGCATTTATCCTTTTAAGCCTATTTTTATTTTATTTTATTTATTTATTTTTTTTTATTTGACAGATAGAGTTAGACAGTGGGAGAGAGAGACAGAAAGGTCTTCCTTCCGTTGGTTCATTCCCCAAATGGCCACTACGGCCGGAGCTACGCCAATTCGAAGCCAGGAGCCAGGTGATTCCTCCTGGCCTCCCATGCGGGTGCACTGCCTTCCCAGGCCACAGCAGAGAGCTGTTCTGGAAGAGGAGCAACCGGGACTAGAACACAGCGTCCATATGGGATGCCGGTGCCGCAGGCAGATGATTAACCAAGTAAGCCACGGTGCTGGCCCCTTAAGCCTATTTTTAATTCATTCCCTTCTACTAACATTTCAGTTCCAGGCCAGATTAGGACAAGAACTCCTCAAGAAAATTATCCTTTATGAATCAGCTCTAGTTAAAATGAATTTCTAATGCTTCCGCCCCAGAACTCGCTCTTTCATTCATGTTTTCATGAATGTATACAAATTACCTATTGTGTATTATATTAAATTCTATCAGAGATGCTAAGGTGATTGAGAAATGGCTCTTGTTCTCAGGAAACTTGTAAAGTAGGCTTGAGTGAACCAGATCTTTGGTACTATGGAGTCATTTTAGAAGTCCTCTTAAACCACTAGCACGCCTATCTTCATTTTGAACAGAGGGTGAGCAAGTTTACACCCCATTGACTTTATTGGATTCATGTGTTTTCTTGTTTTTATTTCGCTAACTCAAGGGTTTGAAGGATATTTTGTTTTTAAAGCACACTATTATGTTTGAGATATATTTTGCAATCATGTATGTGCTATTTGCTGAATATTTTTAATCACTAGTTTACAAAAGAGCCTCTTAGTTATTTTTATGGGAATGGAATTTTTTTTTCCTTTTTGTCAGGAGGATCACAGTTGTTTGCTTTTGGTATCTTTGGTTCCATAGTTTGTACCAGATGAAGAAGGTGTTGGTGAGTATGTTGGAACTGTCATAAAATGGGCAACAAAGTAACAATTTTAAATGAAACTCAGATTTGGTGAATTCAACATAAAATAAATTATTGTCCAGGAAATGACTTCACCTAAATTTTGGCCTGGTCATATGAAAAATAAAAGCCAAATGTGGATCATTGGACTTACTATTTGGAAAAATTATCTAATTTAGCAGAGAATCATCTGTTTGAGAATAGAATTCTTAAAATTATAAGCTTTATATTTCATTTTATTTTACTTTCACTAGGTCATTATAATCTTTGCTAATCTCTGATCAGAAGAAACATCTAAAGAAAGTTATTACATCACAAAATTTAAAGGATAATAGGACCGAATTCCACATTGAGGCCATCTAGTCCTGTTTATGTAAATGAGGAAGTTGAGATCTATAAGTTTTCTTCCAGTTCAAAATATCAAATTTGACTATTTCTTAAAACCCAATCAAACTGGGCAAACTGGTTTGGCATCAGTGTTAACTTGCAGTCAAATTAAAGTTGTCTGCTTCCATTAGGATTTATGTGATCCACTTACTTTGATATTTTCTCATTCTATTTTCTTTTCCAGTTCATTTACTTTTAGCCTCCTGTAAGTCAAAGGATGATTAAAATTCATGAAGAATTATTAAGAAGAGGTAATTAACTGGTCTGCATTAAGGCGAGTTGTGCTGACAGTGATGTTATTTAAAGATGGGGGAGCAGTGAATAACAGTAATATAATAACAGTAACATAATTGTCAAAAATATTTTGAGTTTTCTGAGTCTGATTTTTGAGTTTAGGATTTCCTTTATCTCTGCAATGTTGTTGGGTAGTCTCCACATGCCTTCATATTTTCAATTTGCTTACTCATTCCTTTCATCAGTTCTCTAACTTCCTGTAAAATCATCCTTCTTCCAATGAATACCTTAATGGTAGCAAAGTTGAGATGTTGTTTGACATTAATGTCTGAAAATGCATATAAAGTAAATCCTGTAAGTCCATTCTTATTCCTTATGTGAGAACAGACATATACACCAAGATGGTGTCCCATAGGGATAAATTGATCCTGTTTATAAGCTGGAGGCAAATCTGGGATTTGAGAAAGGTTAGCATCAGTGATCCGTATCTAGACCTCCATTCTGTGTGAGTGTCCTGCTTGGGTTCAGTGCCACATAGGCAGTCTCCTTGTTGGGTCTTCAGCAACTCTTATTAGGGGTGGGGCTATTTATATGCCCACAATACCCTGGTCCTAGTGCTTATCTTTTTCCTACCTACTTTGAAAGCTGACTTACTCTGGACATTTTGCTCTCAAGATCTTAGTCTCTAAGATTAACTATGATCTTTTAAATTATTTGTGTAAAAACATTGATGAAGGATAATAGCTTAATGTGAATCTTAAAAGGACCCTTCAGTGCTTTAACCTAAGATAGCTGGAAGATCTAGTGCTGTGGCCTGTTGGCTAAGGACATGCAAGGATTCATCCTTTGTTATGCCCTTTAATTCTTTCAGCGGATGGTTACTCACCATCAACTATGAGCTAGCTCTTTTTATCCAGCTTAAATCATAAATCTGGATGTCTCAATAGGAAAACTCACATAATAACACTCATCCGTCAATTATTGTGAGCCTTTATTAGTTTAGTGGGGCTGCTGTGGTGGAGTAAACAATGGAAATTTACCTTTTCATAGTTCTGAAGGCTGAGAAGCCTAGATCGAGGTATCCACACGGTTGGTTTCCTCTGAGGGTTATGTCTTCCCATGTGTTTTCTCTGTGTCCCTGCCTGTCTGTGTTTTAGTCTTTTCTCCCTAGGACACCAGTCAGATTGAATGAAGGCCCACCTGTAAGAGTTCATTTTACTTCAACCAAATTTTTAAAGGCCCTATCTCCAGATATGGCCTTACTATAAATCACTGAAGATTGAAAGGTGGGGTGCATTTCAGCCCATAACACAGCTTTCAAGTGTATTAAACAATTTCAGGGTTATCTTTAACCATTAAAAAAGTCTAGAGTGATTTATTTCATTTTTTTTCCTGTTCAAAATGAGGATAAGGGAGGAAAAGTAACTTATTCAAGTTCACACATCTACTAGGTGATGAAACCAGAGGTTGAATGAAGACTTACAGCTCCAAAGTCCAAGATTTTCTGCTCTACCACTCTGCCCTCTGCTAAGAGTTACAATCATCAGCTTTGCTCAGGCAATGATTCTGCTTCCTAGAATTTTTTAATTCATGAAGAATAAAGAGATTTAATGGCTATGTGGGTGAAATTTCTCCTTGAGAGATTATGTTCAAGAAAACAAAATAATAATTACTTTCTAATAGGATTTTTAACTTGGCAAAAAATAACAAAGGATTTTATTTTTCAGTAACAAGGAAATTTTGAATTTCAGTTTTTTATATCAACAATAGTGATGGTTTTAGAAATAATTTTTTAAATCAGCAAGAAGACATTACATAGCCTGTGTTTCTTTAGTTTCTAATCTTCCAGAGGGCACAAAGTGAACTGACTTGGGGATCTTCAATATTTTCTGAGAAAGGTCACAAAATTTCCAAATTTTTCGCAATTCAACATATTTTTCAAAGGAAAGAACTGTCAAATTATAAACCAAATTCAGGCTTTTTCGTTGATGTCCTTTTGTGTCTACAGAAATATAGGCAAAGTACCTCCTTACTCTTTCAAATTATTTAATTTGCCCATTTTTTTTTCCTGTATGACATACTAAAAGGAGAGATTTCATAACAGATCATCTGTGACAAGTCAGTTCCTTTAACTTTGAAATGTTTCCAATACAGAAATGTTTATATGAAAAAAATTATACTCATTGAAGGAAAAAAATAATGATGATATCCCTAAGACAGATAATACTAAAGGGAAATTCTATTGTTATAGTTTATGGTTAGGAATTTTAGGACATTCTTAAAAAGGAGAACAAAATTAGCTAAGAAGAAGAAAAATGAAAAATCTAGATTTGAATATTAAACCGCTAAACATGGAGATGAATAGGATATTATTGAAATTATAATAAAAATCTTTCTAGACTTATAAAAAAGTATTTCTAGACTACAGGTGGTAATTACTGTAGTTACTACACTTGAGCAAATGCATTGTTACTGAGTTATTAAATAAGTATAATTCAGCAATAGCAGCCATCATAATATCAAAAATACAATTTTACACAAAAACATTTAAAAGAGACAAAGAAGTATATTATGTAATGATTAAGAGATCAATTCAATAGGAAGATGTGACTATAGTAAATGTATATGCACCCAATGCCAGGGCAATTGGCTATTTAAAAGAAATTTTAATGGATCTAAAGGGAGGCATAGGCTCCAATTCGATAATAGGAGACTTCAATACTCTACTTTCATGAATGGACAGATCAAATAGACAAAAAATCAACAAAGAAACAACAAAAGTAATCTATACTATGGACCAATTGGACCTAATTGATACCTGCAGAACATTTTATCCACAGCTGCACAAAACACATTCTTTTCATCAGTACATGGAACTTTCTCTAGGATAGACTATATGCTAGGCCATAAAGCAAGTTTCAACAAATTCAAAAAATTTGAAATCATACCATGTATCTTTTCTGACCTCAAGGGAGTGCAGCTGGAAATTAAAAACATAAGAAACTCTCAAAAATATGCAAACACATGGAGACTGAGAAACATGCTCCCATGTGAACAGTGGGTCATAGAAGAAATCAATAAATTCCAAGAAATGAATGGAGATGACAGTACAAGATATCAAAACTTTTTGGATACAGTAAAAGCAGTGTTGAGAGGGAATTTTATGGCAATTAGAATTAGTACCCACACAAAGAAATTGGAAAGGCATCAAATTAATGATCTAACAATGCATTTAAAGGACCTAGAAAAACAAGAACAAACCAAACCCAAAATTAGTAGGAGAAAAGAAATAATCAAAATTAGAGAAGAAATAAACAAAATTGAAACCAGACAAAGAGATCAGTGAAATGAAGAGCTGGATTTTTTAAAAAGTAAGCAAAACTGATAAATCTTTGGCCAACTAACCAAAAAAATTTTTTTATTTTACCAAACATTTAGAGAAGAACTAATTCCAATTTTTCTCAAACTATGCAAAACAATTGAAAGGGAGGAAATCCTCTTAAACTCCTTCTATGACGCCAGCATCACCTTAATTCAAAAACCAGAAAAAGATACAACAAAGAAAGAGAACTATAGTCCAATATCTCTGATGAACATAGTTGCAAAATCCCTTAACAAAATACTACTGAATCAAATCCAACATTTTGTGAACTAGCAGGCTTCCATAGCCTTGGCAGCTCATAACAAGAGCCTCAGGTGATTACTGATGCCATAAACAAGAGTGTCAATTGTTAAATCAACAATGGAGCCACTGTGCACCTACTCCCCATGAGGGATCTCTGTCCTTAATATGTTATACTATGCAAATTATAAAAAAAAACTAGTACTCAAACAGTACTTTATACTTTGTGTGTCTGTGTGGGTGCAAACTGTTGAAATCTTTACTTAGCATATACTAAATGGATCTTCTGTATATAAAGATAATTAAAAATGAATCTTAATGAAGAATGGGATGGGAGAGGGAGTGGGAGATGGGATGGTTTGCGGGTTGGAGGGTGGTTATGGGGGGGGGAATTGCTATAATCAAGAGTTGTACTTTCTACATTTATATTTATTAAATAAAGGTTTAAAAAAAAGAAAGATCATTCACCTGGGCCAATTGGGATTTATCCCAGATGTACAGGGATGGCTCAACATACAAATATCAATAACTGTGAAACAACACATTAACAAATTGAAAAATAAAAATCATATAATTATCTCAGTAACTGTAGAAAAAGCATTTAATAAAATACAACATCCTTTCATGATAAAATCCTTAAACAAAATTGAGGATAGAAGGAACATTTCTTAACACGATTAAGACAATATATGAAAAACTCACAGTCAGCATCATATTGAATGGGGAAAAGACCCAAAACCAGATAAGGGTACCCACTTTCAGCATTGTTATCCAATATAGTCCTGGAAGTTTTAGCCAAAGCCATTAGGCAGGAAAAAAAATAATATGGATACAAATTGGAAAGGAGGAAATGAAATTATCCCTGTTTGCAGATGAAATGATCCTATATATGGAAGAAACAAAGGATTCCACTAAGAGACTATTGTAACTCATAAGAGAGTTGGATGAAGTTGCAGGAAACAAAACCAACACACAAAAGTCAATAGCCTTTGTATATATAAACACTGCCATGGCTGAGAAAGAACTTGTCAGATCCATACCATTGACAATGGCTACAAAAATTTAAATACCTTGGAATAAATTTCACCAAGGATGTGAAAGAGCTCCACAATGACATTACAAAATACTAAAGAAAGAAATAGAAGGAGACACAAAAAATGGAAAAATATTGCATATTCATGGATTGGAAAAGTTAATATCACCAAAATGTCCATACTACCCAAACCAATTTATAGATTCAATGCAGTGCCAATCAAAATAATATTCTTAGATCTAGAAGAAAGCTGCTAAAATTTATATGGAAACACAAGAGATCCTGAATAGCTAAAGCAATCTTAAACAACAAAAACAAAGCCAGAGGCACCACAATATCAGATTTTAAGATATATTACACGACAGTTAAAAGCTAAACATTCTGATACTGTCATAAAAATAGACACATAGAACAATGGAACAGAATAGAAACACCAGAATTAATTAATCCACACAGCTATGAGCAAATTACCTTTGTCAAAGGAGCTAAAATTAATCTCTTCACAAATAGTGTTGGGAAAATTTGATCTTCATGCACAAGTATGAAACAAGACCTTCACCTTATACTTTATACAAAAATCAACTTAAAATTTATGAAGGCTCTAACTCTATGACCTTATACCATCAAATTACTACAGGAAAACATCATGGAAACACTGCAAGACATGGGCATGGGCAAAAACTTTTTGGAAAAGAACCCAGAAGCACAGGCAATAAAAGCCAAGTGACAAAAGTGTACCTCAAGCTAAGAAGCTTCTGCCCTGAAAAGCAGACACTCAACAAGGTGAAGAGGCAACAAATGGAATGGGAGAAAACATTTGCAAACTATGCAACTGATAAAGGATCAATATCCAGAATCTATAAAGAGCTCAAGAAACTCAACAGCAACAAAAGAATCCAGTTAACAAATGGGCAGGGTCCAGCACTGTGGCATAGCAGGTAAAGCCGCCGCCTGCAGTGCTGGCATCCCATATGGGAGACAGTTCAAGTCCTGGCTGCTTCACTTCCAATCCAGCTCTCTGTTATTGCCTGGAAAAGCAGTAGAAGTTGGCCTAAGTGCTTGGGCCCCTGCACCCATGTGGGAGGCCTGGAAG